TTTTATCTTTAAAATGGTAAAAACGAGCTTAATACGAGATTTGCGGTAAAGACCGAGTTTAATATTATTTTCATGGTTTTGAGCTATTAAAAAATATAAAAACTGGTCAGACCTGTTTTAGGATGGTAAATGGAGGTTCGTGTATTTTTGGGAGATTTTCGGATTTACAGTTTTGTGGGAATTTAAGTTACCGTAAAATAATGGTTAATACAAGATTTTTGATATTTTATTGTCTAAATAGATTTTATGACCAGAACTGGATTAAATGGATTTTTGTGTCAATAAATTCATTTACATGAATTGTGTGAGGATTTTAATGAAGGAAAGTGAAATTTGAGATAAGGATATTTTTAACCGCAACCGGGTTATTTATAATTATTTGTGTTGGCGCTATTTTGTGAAATTGTTGATGAATTGTGGATGAGGAATGGTGACACGGTACTGCTGAGTAGCTTTATAGGAGAATGAAATGATTTATGTGAAACGTCGAGTTGATAATCGACGGATATATATGTGGACTGGTTAATCCGTGAGACTACATTGATTCCGGATTGATTGTGATGAATGAGAAAAATGAAAATGTTTTGATTCGTGATCATATTAATTCACATAGATGTAGAAAGGGCCTGCACTTACCCTCACCCCTTGAGAGTGGGTAGATTTAGCTCGCTTATGCGATTGAGTGTTGTGGTTGCATGAGCACCACAGATGAGTGTTGTGGTTAAAAACCACGGATTGAGTGTTGTGGTTGCATGAACACCACGGATGATGATTTGCTCGAGCGAGGGTAAGTGTACGGTGACCTTGGCGCCATTAATAATTAACCGGAATTTTCGTATCATGCATTGATTATGTGTTCGTGAAATTATGTGATTATCTTATTGGATAAATTGATTTGGTGATGAAGAGTTGGTGGATTCGATAAGTTGATCGATAATTTATATATGATGATTTAAGATGACATCTAGAGTACTAAATTACGATTGATTATGATTGTTTGATTAGCTGATTGCGGTCCCAAAAACTAGGTCGTGGGAAAGATCCACACACACAGCTTATTTGCTGACCCACTTCTGTTCAGTTTCTTACAGGTTCGAATGAATTGAGAGAAACTCTGGCACTGCACAATGATAGATGGAGGATTGGTTTTGAACTTTTCCCAGATTTTGAAATGACTCTCATTTATGTTTTATGAGTCGATGATTTGAGTATTGCATAGTAGATGGTACCGTAATGAACATAGTAGTGAATGACACTCTGATTTAGTTGACATGAAATGAATGAACTAGATCGAGTTGATCTTTGGTATATGATGAGTAATTTGTGAATTGATTGTTGTGATTTTGGATCAAAATAATGTAGGTATGTATATTACTAGTGGTAAATAGTCAAGTTTTTGCGTAACCCCCAATAGCGATTCCGCTTGTGCGGCTGAACCATTGGTTCAACCCATGAGTTTTAGGGTGGGGTGTTACAATCACCACCATTTCCTCAAACCTGATGCTCTTCCATGGGTGGTTCTTGGTGATTTTAATGCTATAAGAAGTGTTTTAGAGGCTTCTAACAGCCCTAGTCGAAATCATAGTATGGAGTCGTTTGGTAATTGGATAGAAGACATGGAACTAGAGGATAGTAGATTTGAGGGCCCTTGGTTCTCCTGGACTAATAGGAAATGAGGGAATCCCATAGCTCAAAGGATAGACAGGGTATTAGTTAATGCAAGTTGGTTAACTATTTTCCCAAATTATGTGGTCAAGTTACTTCTTTTAGGGCTTTCTGATCACTGCCGCATGCTCATCAACACTGATTCTCACATAGCTTCTCTGCCGAAGCCCTTCAAGTATTTCAAGAACTGGGAATCTCACCCTCAGTATAAGCAACTAATAAGGGATGCTTGGGGCGTATGTTTTACTGGTACCCCTATGTTTGTAGTATATCAGAGGCTGAAGGAAGTAAAAAGAAACCAGAGGAAGTTGAATAGGGTTTTTTACTCTGAGATTTCTGAGAGAGTAATGGCAAAGAAATAGTAGCCAGAGAGTTTACATCTGGCTGCTCTGCACCATCCTTCTGCTATCAACTTCCAAGCTCTAAATGATTATCATGCAGTGCTCAATACTTTGCTCCATGAGGAGGAATCCTTTTACAGGCAAAAGTCAAGGATGCTGTGGGTTAAGACTGGGGATCTAAATCCCTCTTTCTTTCATAACTCTGTGAAGGCTCGACAATCCAGGTCTACTATCAAAAAGTTAGTAACTGAGGATGGAACAGTTCTTACTGAGGTTCAGGATATGAGTAGGGAAGCAATACTTTTTTATAAAGGTTTGCTGGGGACTAAGAATCAGGAGGTGCAAGTAGTATCTAGTGACTTGTTCACTCAGCTGTTAGTTCATCATCTACCTTTGGATCAGGGGGATCTATTATGTGCTCCAATTTCCAGTGAGGAAGTAAAGGCTGCAATTTTTTCGATGAATGGAGAAAAATCCCCTGGACCTGATGGGTTTACAGCAGGGTTTCTCCATCACAATTGGGAGATTGTGGGGGCTGATGTTTCAAGGGCTGTTTTGGATTTCTTCAAGACAGGGAACTTCTTACTGAGGTAAACTCAACATATCTGGCTCTCATACCTAAAGTGCTAAATGTTGATTGCATGAAACAGTTTAGACCTATCTCCTGCTGTAACATACTGTACAAATGCATTGCAAAAGTCCTAGCTAACCGATTAAAAGAGGTGCTTCCTCTAGTTACCAGCCAGAACCAGTCTGCTTTCATTAAAGGGCGACTGATTAGTGATAATGTGTTGCTTGCTCATGAGATGGTTAGACTCTATTATAGAAAATTTGTGTCTCCTAGATGTGCATTAAAGGTTGATATAATGAAGGCTTTTGACAGTGTGGACTAGTTCTTCCTAGAAACAGTTTTGGGTGCTATGGGTTTTCCTAGCCAGTTTATAAATTGGATTAGAATATGCTTGCACAGTACTAAACTCAGTGTCAGCTTCAATGAGGGCCTCTGTGGCTATTTCTCTGAAAAAAAGGGGTTGAGACAAGGGGATCCTCTGCCCCCTTATCTCTTCACAATCTCCATGGAAGTTCTATCTTGCATGTTGAACAGAGCCTATATGCTTAAAACCCTTCCCCCACACCCTCAAACACATAGGATAGCATTGTCCCACCTTTGCTTTGCAGATGATCTGCTAATTTTTACCAAGGGAACAAGTGAGGCAGTGGAGGTCACAAAGCAGATCCTTGATATGTTCTATGATGTATCAGGATTAAAATGTAATCCAGCAAAGAGTGAAGTTTTCTGTGCGGGTGTAGATGCTGAGACTCAGGTACAGATCTCCTTGAGAACTGGTTTTGTAGTTGGGAAACTTCCAGTCAGATATCTTGGAGTTCCCTTAGTTGCTAGGAAGTTAAATTCTACTGACTGTGTTGCGCTAGTTGCCAAAATAACTGCTAGAATTAAGGGCTGGCATGTCAGGGCCCTCTCTTAAGCTGGAAAACTGCAATTAATCACAGCAGTCATCTCTAGTATAACGCAGTATTTGATGGGTATCATTAATTTGCCTGTCAAAGTGATCAAACAGGTAGAAAAACTCTGCTCTGACTTCTTGTGGGGTGCTGAGGAAGAGGGTAAGAAAGCAAAAGTTCAATGGAAATATGTGGCTCGACCAAAGAAGGAGGGAGGACTAGGATTCAAGGATTTGAGATGTTGGAACACTGCTTGTCTTATCAGGCATCTATGGGCTTTGGCATCGAATTCCTCTTTTCTATGGGCTAGCTGGGTCCGTCAGTATCAGCTTACCTATACCTCTATCTGGGACATCCCATCGTCAATCAACTGCTCCTGGGCGTGGCGAAAGGTCTTAATGACAAGAAGCCATGCAGAGCATCATCTTTCCATCCGGCACTCTGAGGTCTATTGGGATGGCAAACTCATGAGCAAGTTTTCAGTGAAGAAAGTTTTGGACACAATTCGACCAAGATATGACAAGGTTCCCTGGTAAGATCTAGTTTGGAAATCTCTCTGTACTCCAAGAGATAAAGTGCTAGGGTGGCTTATCATTCTCAACAGGATAAGCACACTAGATAATGTGCAGGTTTGGAACCCATCTGTCATTAACACATGTCCCCTTTGTGTAGCTGCTGCGGAATCCAGTAGTCATATATTTTTTGAGTGCCCTTATTCACAGAAGATTCTACAGTCCGTTTTTCACTCACAGATCCAATCAGGAAGGTGTTGGGAGGAAATCTGGGGATTGCTTTAAGTCGATTTATAGTGACTTCTCCAGCTTCTTATAGGGGCAGACTGCTCTGGTTGACAGTGGTGAGTGAGCTATGGAGGGAGCGATGTAGGCTGTTATATGGCAATGATGCTCTGACGGAAGTGCAACTGCTGAAGAAGCTGCAGCAGATGTTGATTTTGCTGCGGAGTGGTTTCCCTCAAATCAGTTTGGCTATTAGTGAGGCTGAGATTCTTAACATAGTGTAGTTGTTGTTTTGTACTTTGTTTTCAGGTAGTTTCTTTTAGACTTTAGTAGCTGTTGTTTTTTGTAGCTTGAGTGGTTGTATGTACTCTGTAATTGGATGGTTCTGCAGTTTTGGTACCAGTTAGAATGGTAATCTACTATTCTTTCTTGATGAATACAACTTATTCATCAAAAATAAAAATGCATGTGGACTCGATGTGTCTGCTAGAGAAGGGAAACCAGTCACAGAAGTACCATCATGATACCGCTGGATTTCAATTGTGGTGACGTATGTTACTCACTGTGCTGGCTTTGAAAACCTCATTATACATAATCTAATAACACAAGAAAAGTGAGTTTGATACAATCATTGGTTAACCCAATCCATTCCTAATCACGAGATCGACGCTAATGTCATCAAGACTTAAACATGTTGCAGGAGACCTCAATCTTTCTGCTCCAGCTTTCAGATAAATGTTCACAAGCGCATAGTGCTTGAGATAAAATAGGAACCTCGCATGTAACAACTTCCTCATTCAACCTTTGCAATGACTCCAGAGGGAATGCCGCCTTCTCCAACAGTCTCCCTGACAAATCTGCAAGCAATTGGAAATTCACTTTTCAAGGACGAGGGAGTAAAGCAAAGCACTGTCCATCACAGACTATAAGATGCTCAAGTTTTCATTTCCTGTAAAAATACAAGTGGAGATAAAGAGGGTTCAAAAGATCATAGTACCTTGCCAATTTGTCCCGTGATGACTGCAGGATGTAAATTGAGAGAATGAAAGACATCGTAACGCCTGTTAGAATGCATCAAACCAATTTTAGACAAATATTAACCCTTTCTTCTAGCAATGACGTGCACCAATAAACCATCCATGCTAGAATGAAACAGCTCTAGTATGTTGAATAGAGGCACCATGATTACCTGATCCGAACAAAACATAAAAACCAGCAGTCACATCAATGTCAGAATGCTCCTCCCTGTCACGCCAAAACATAGACTTCAGTCAAGTTACTTCCTAACTCAAAATGGCAGCATTGGAAGCAGCTTGTCCAGCTGGCAATTAGGACGATAGACAGCTTGAATCCCAAGACCATGGTACTAACCAAGTGTATCTCACAAGAACATGCTTGGGCCAATGCTGAGGATCCCAAAATTGTTTACGGATATTGGGATGAATTTCCACATCTGTCAAAAGTCCAAAACATGAAAGAATCCACAGTTAAACTAAAACATATATGCAAATGCGAACAGACAACTTAAATGAAATGGATAAGATGTTCACCAGATCATTCCCTACGAAAAAGATGATAATGACTAAATGCATAGGCAGCAAGTGAAGACTGGAGAGAAAGGAACCTATGCAGTAATGCAGCATGTGTACAATTTGGAAAGTCATATATGAAGAACGAGAACATTAACTCTAGTTGGCTAGATACAGCTAACAAGCAATGCTTTCAAACAAATTGTCTCACTATAAGAAGGATTATTATGCATTCAAAGAAAAGACTAGGGAAGAAAGTGCAGAAGACTGTCACTTACAGTGATGAGGCATATCTACAACTTTAGCAGTGATCCCATGCAAATCACCACCTGCATACCTCTGCATCAAAACAAAGCAAACAACCAAGCAAACGGTAAATACCCTGTCAATTATTGAAGACAAATTTACATGAAGTATCTTTTGGCCAGCATATCTTCAACAGGGACAACCTTCAAACATGCCACAAGAAGACCCAGCATATATTGTAATGATAAGTTCATCAAAAGTGAATGGCTTACCAAATGCACATCAATCATAGGAACCTCGGAACTCTTCCTATTAATCACGTAAAGCCACGGAGTTTGATATTTTTCCCTTCCTACTTGAAAGGATCTGGATATACAACAAACATGAAAACACATGAGCACATAAGATAATCACTAGCATAGAGACATGTGAAATCTAGAGGACTGATTTAGATTTTAGAGAAATATTCAGAAATGGGAACTCTGGGAGCTCCACCTAAGCAAGCAGTAGGCAGTAGTAACTAGTTCTTGAATGAGAACGATTTCGCAAGCCAAAGGATCCCATATCCCAATTGGAAGCCATAACAAGTGAAAATTCTCAAGTTCAGCAGACGACGAGAAGAAGGGGTAAATGGAACGAATTACTCACATCTTGTAAGGATCTGCACCCGTATAACCTGTGGGCTTGGCGATTGGAACCAAAACCTGCGGGTGAAATTTCAATCATCAGCCACCCCAGAGAAGGGAGAACCCAATTTGGTCCGCTGAAAAGAAAGCTCACCTCGCGATTAACGCCAAAAATGGGACAATGCTTGCCGATCATATCGTGCCACATGGTTCTGGACTGAGAAAATTTCAGGAATCGAATCAGATATTCCCGTCAATTGCTCGGTGACAATCCAACCACCTACAACGCCTAGGAAGGGAGAGGAATAGAGAAACGAACCGAGTGGTATTGTCCCATCTTGCTCATCGGAACGATGTCTCCCGGCCGGTATGCCAGGGATACGGATGAGAATGACAGTACAAGTAGAAGAACAACCGTCGCAATTCTGCTCCGACTTCGTTCCCCGGTCGCCGCCATCCCGCCGCGATCAACAGTCCAAAAAGAAAGCAAGTTCATCAAACACTTCCAAGTTCCAAAAACCACTCGGTCAGAGACTCAGAGTTTGGCAGCTTGTCTCGTCATTAGGGTGTTAACGAACGAAGCCCAGGCCCAGGTGAATGCTAAATAGAATGTTCAATTGGCCCAACTTAGCTAGGTATTTGAGAAACCTGCAACTCTAGCCCTTCAGGCCAGAAATGGGACGGCCCATCCCAGACATGGTCTCCCTTTTTCATAATTATTTTTTTTTATGCTTTTTCCTAATTAATTAATGTGCAGTCTAATTGAGATTACTACATGTGTCATGAGGAAAGTTAAACAACTGTATTACATGTGACTAGTTTGTTACCCAGTCTGTTGGTAGGAGACTTTAATTATCATTTATATCAATTCATTTACTTTACTTTTTTTGAATCACCTATATTTTTTTACTCTCACTTTATAAGCGAGTATGTGATATGCTTACATTAAAAATTCTCAATACTTAGCATACTCACCTATGATTCTATCATTTCTAACCAAAAATCATATCGTGAAGATTTATCACATCCCATTTAGGATAGCATATCAAGATTTGTCAAACCAAGACACTCAAATTTACTGAATTTCTAATCGTTCCCCTAACTATTTGAATTTATCGCCCTAGATTTACACAAAGAGACCATTTTGCCCCTGATCAGAAAATAACCTAATCCTAAAACTAACCCGGCCCTTAGCGTCGTACCTTTCTCCTCTCCCCAACAAAGCACCGACCCAGCCGCCGCCGCCGTATGCTCTCTGCCCGGTGAGAAGAACGCCACCGCAAGAGGAAGGGCAGGTTCATCACGTGCAGGCCTCTGCTTCCACCGAGGAGAGGAGAAGTTTGTCGCGTGCAGGCCTCTGCTTCCGACCGATCCCACACGGCCATCGAGGCGAGAAGACTAAATGTCACCTTTCGCTGCCGTCGTTGAAGAAGGTCGGTCGTCGCCGCTCATTGCCGTCGCTGCTCGCTGTCGTCGTTAATTTTATTTTATTTTGTGCATCTCCGACGGTATGGGTTGAATTGAAAATCCATCGCCCGCAGGCTGTAGGCAGGTTTCCCGATGTTAGCTTAGCATTCTTTATCTAGAGTTGTGTCTGATATACAATGAATTGATTGTTGTTCTGATGCTCAATTTGGACTGCGACGGGTGCTTAGTTTCTTATGAATCGTTGGATAGATTTTGACTGTGCTACCGTCTGGATGTATGGTCTTTCTAACTCTTACTTTGTGGTGGCTGATTGTGGCTAATCGTTTCAATTCCGTTGCAGGTTTCCAAGTGTTCCACTCCTTCATCTCCAAGATCAGAGAGGAATACCTGACCGTACGATGCTTACTTTCTCCGTTTCTTCATAACCGAAGGTGTCTAATAAAGAACCATAAAATTAAATCAAGGACAGTTTTGTAAATTCGTATGGCTTAGGGCGATAGAATTTAAAATTTTAGGGCGACGAATAGTAATGCCCCAAATTTATTATATTAAGCTACATATAACAATTCGTGATTCACGAGTCAAGACAAACTCTAAACCAATTATTGAGAGTTCAAATTATTAGATAAAGATGCTTAATTAATGGATAATTTTGGTTTATTCCAAGTGAAACTTAACACATATTGTACCCTTACGATGATCATATTATTTAATCATGACTCATTTTCATGCGAATGTTCATGAAGTCTTAGTTGAGGATTTTATGTCAAATTTGTCTATTAAGACACTCAAATTTAGTATATATATACAATATGTATCAATCACTAATTCTTGAAGTGGTTGTTGTCTATATGTTGGTTCAGAATCTCAACCCAAGACACTCACCACACTATCAAGGGTTCTTGTCTTGACATGATCATTAAGTGTATATATTTCCAACTTTTATAATGTGCATTTGTAAAATTTTATTTATCTTTGGTGTTTGGTTCATGAAACTGTACTAAACATCGTACTGGAAAAGTCAGTGGTAGGGTCTTTTATGACAAAATCGTGGTTTAACCACAGTTCAACAGTTAGTGCCGTGAAATACAATGTACCGGTTTACCAAAACCGATGCATGGGAAAAACCTTCTCGAAAACAACAATTTCGTCGATACGTTACGGTTTCATTAACCATTTCTGAAACAATTTTTTTATTACTCATCTTAATGAATGATAAAGCGTGTCTACAACCCACACGAATTTTAGGTGCATTTAAAACGGCGTATCGGTTGAACAATTAATTTATAATTTTTTAAAAATTTGATTTTTTATTAATTTATTTTTTAATTTATGCAACCATTATGACATTTCACATATATATGGATTCATGGATGTATTGTAGACACATCTATTGTTAATATCTAAGCATATGTAAAGTGTTTAATTTACTTTTTAATCATAGTTAATACGTTCGAACTTTGCTCGATTAGTGGAATATGAAACAAAAAAAAATTGTGACTAGGATAACTCTATCTAAATACAAATTGCTTCATGTTACAAAGTAAAATATTTATGTTTTGACACTTTGATATCAGAACATTTTTGTTATTGCAAAAATTTGGTATGCAGTCACATGCTCACAACCGTACTACCAAATGAATTCTTACAATTGCCTTGTTGAACTCATCATTATTAAAGATTTATCATTTTTAACCCAATAACTCGGATTAGACTTTCAAATACATTCAACTATTAAACGAAAATTGTTAGCCTTTGTTTGACCAATGCTTAGGTCAGTGGTAGATGATAAGTGATGTTTACCATACTTCGTCTACAAATACGTCTTTAACATTCACATGTGTCATATAATACTTGTACATCGTCAAGTTTCTATCCAGATATTTGGTTATATAATAATTGCTATATTTGATAGACGTATACATTACAAATGAGAAAATGTTTGATAGTAAAAAATATAAAATAATATAGTTCATTTTTGAAAGTCGATTGATCGTCAAACCACTATTTTCTCTCTTTCCATCGCTACATTTGTTTGATCGGATAAAATATTATTATTTATGTGTGTGATTTTTCTATTTTTCCATTAAAATGTAACTTATTATTAAGTTTTAGCATAAATTGAGTAGAAAATTGACTTAAAAATGTAATAACATGTTTTTTGTTTAAAAAAATGTGACAGATGTCACTTTACAAACATTAGTCTATTATTGCATACATAGATTAATACATATAATGCAAAAAAAATATTGATAAAAGAAAAAATATTAAAAAAGAGAGAGCTCCATAAATTGATCATTAACTCAATTTTTTGTTTTAAAAAATATTGTTCACCTTGGCAACTTGTGAGTTCTCCAAATGCTTTTGTGACAATAAGTAACTTTTGAACAACCATAATAAGGTAATATAAGATTACAGAAATCATACTTCAAAATTGGATGGTTTGTTACCTACACTTGATTTGATTCCCTCAAATTAACTGAAACCGAAAATGATTGGTTTAACTAAATTAAAAGAAAAGGCAAGTCAGGTCAACATTTAATGCTCTGCCATTCTTAATTACAGAATTTCAATAATATATATATCATGAGACAATTAGGGGTGTACAATGGTGCTATGCGGTCCGGTACCACACAACACCGGATCAAACTAGTATTTGGATCGGATTGCACCAAACCGAGTATAGTACGATACGATTTTTGATCCTATAAATTGTACAATTACTTAAGAAAAAACAGGCCAATTGATTATTGGATATCCTTGGTACTAAGATCTCTTTCACTAATGGACTACGACTCTCATGAGTTTGGTACGACCCAAACTGTACCGAATCATTGCACACCCTTAGAAACAACCTACACTATAATTGTGTTACAATTAGACCTAATCATATTGCTTAAATTATTTAATTATTTACAAATAAAGAACATCTCTTACCCGACTCAATGGTTGGATTAATTTTGTTTATTTATTCTTTATATAAAAAAATTCTTCAAATTCAAAGTTGATTGGGATTTTCTAAATAATTTCTATGGCTCAATTGCAAGTTTGGTCACTTGAATTACTAGTAAATTTTACGTTAGCCACTAGAATTACTTTATTCCATAGTCACATAAATTAGGTTAACAGTTCAAGTTTAGGCACTTGCCGTTAGTCTCCGTTAACTTTTGCTGATGTGGCGGTCAACTATTATAGTTGACCGTCAAATGAGTGACGTGGCAATTAAAAAAATAATAAAAAATAAAATAAAATTATTTCTTATTTTGTAGCTAATTATTATAAATTAAAAAAATCCAAATTTCTTTAATTATTATTTTCCACCGTCGTGCCGCTAACTTCGCCGGTGTCGCAATTCTACACCCACCGTCCTCCAAAACTCCGATTACTTCGCCGCCACCAACCTCCTCTCCGGCTCCAACCCTTCCCACGACATCATCCTCACCCCCAATCCCAACCATCATCTCGTAACCGACGGATTCCACTCCGCCCCTCTCTCTTGGTCCAAAATGAGATGAAATATGAATGATACAATAATTGTTGATCTCTCAACTGCAAGCTCAGGGATCGTTTGCTTGGGTCGTCATGTTTAGAATTGAATCATCAATGAGTTCAGGGCTTCCATAATCTTGAATGATCCCAGCAAGCTGCGCACTATCAACATTATAAGGCAAATTCCCAAAGTAAAGCTTTGTATTCACGCCACTGCTGCCTTCTCTCGTTTCTTCGCCACCTTCAATTCCTTTCTCTTCCTCCGCTGGAGCAGCCGCCTCCACCTCGGCCTTTGCCTCCTCCTGCGCGACGGCCGCCGTATATACCTTCTTGGGCGCCCGCCACAATGCTACTGCAGCAATGGGAAGAGGAAGAGGATCTCCGCCTCCGGGAGCAGCAAATATGTGTAGACGTTCTGAGGTTGGAAGTCTGAGGACAGAGTCTAGCTTCTCGCCGTCGGAGCGTGCACCCACGCCTCCTACTGCTCCGACTGCATATCCCGCCACGTCGCGACAAAAATCTAGCAGAGCGTGGTGACCGTCACCTGCCCTGCGTTGGGATGCGAGACCGAGCGGGAAT